AAAAACAAACAACGGTAGAAGAAGAAGACAAAGAGAGAGAGAGAGAGTTGGGGATATTAAATCCCATTAAATTAGGTAACTAATTCCAATAAATGTGCTAGAATATTAAATTTCATGCAATCAGTTAATATGGTATTTGTGCAAATAAAATCACTAAATTAGGTTAATATGTTAATATTTACAAATTTGTTATATTTATGTAATAAAAAAACAAACTAATTGTACATGGTGCAATTTCTTCTTTTTTTTATTTTAGTCCCGTCAGTCCGGGCCGGATCGGACGGCGGGCCACATTGCCAAACTTTTTTTGTTTTTCTAAGGGCCATCCCAGCCGGTGAACCGGCGGTTTAGGCCAATTCATAGAACCGGGTCCTGGTTCTTAGCGGGCCGGTCGAGGGCCATGTGTTGGAGGGCCCATGGCCTGGCGGGCCAGGTCGGGTCGGGCCTCGGCCTTGGCCCGTTGACTAACCACCTCTAGTCTGGGGACTGCATTTGAAAGATCAAGAACACAACCATCATTATTATAAATAGTTTTCATCAAAATTATTGTGATTATTATTGTCGGTTGGATTATAATTATCAGCACATATGCCGGAGAGCTGTTGCCAGGCTCCGGTAGCTGCCGTGCTTGTTATAATTGCCGATTGATGTTCAAATTTAATTAGTTAAGTTTTAATAAATAAGTGAGCTCAATCTCGTTTATTGGCACAATGCTCAATTCGGCTCAACAAAATGTTCAAGGTATGAAACATTAATTGGGCTTGTTATGAAAGTATGAATGCAAATGAATGATCAAGCAGAAAATTCGGGCTTTGGGGCTTTTATCTGGGCTTAAGGTACATTGAAGCTCATAGGGTCGATTTGATATCTTCAATATCATTATGTAATAGGCCCAATAGCATACCCCTCTTAACTTAATTCAGTTAAAGACTTTAAAAACTTTCTAAGACTTTTAAAATTTATTCAATTGACTAAAAAAGTTTGCATGTATTAAATTGGGACTTTTTATAAATCTCTAAAAGTCTCAATGTATTTAATTAAAATTTTCTAAGCGTCTCAAAATTGCACCATTAATCGAGTTCATTTAGTTGATGAGCTGAGCCGAGTTTATTCGTGAATATTTTTTTATTTTTATTTTTTATTTTTTATGGGTCTTAAATGAAATAATGAATTTGTTTGTGAATGGACTTTTCATGTTCGTGAATGGTTATGTAAGGTTTTGCGTTTATTAAACCGTTCAAACTCAACTCGGTTCGAATAACTCCTATATATATTAGTTTTTCTTTACATCTTGATCTTGTGAAGTAGTGATTATATATTTGTATTTCTAAATTACTACATGTATAACTTCCTATATATGTGTACAACATTGTTAGAGAGCAATAATAATAATAATAATAATAATAATAATAATAATAATAATAATAATAATAATAATGATAATAATAATAATAATAATAATAATAATAATAATAATAATAATAATAAACTCTCATCCCCATAAAATTTCTATATCAGCCAAAAAAAAATCCTATACTTTCCAAAATTATGCTTGTCCTTACTATCAATTGGTATTTGGTCCCTATTATTTTGTCTTTACATTGGACCTTTCTATTAACCACAATTATATAAGTTGAGCATACAATTTAATTTATTAATATTTCATCTGCACGGGGGCCTCGCTGCTATACAAGAAACAAATTATAAGGTGTAATAATATTTCAAAATATCAACATCACCACTTGCTACACTATATTCATTTTTGGGAAATGCTAACCGTCGAGGTTTGTAACCGTTAGATCATTATGTAATCGTAAAAAATAGTTGATCTAACAGTACTCGACGGAATAATTCTGTAACGGAACCGTAACATATTCCTTATTGTGTACAAAACGAAATCTCATTACAGAATATACGTGCACCTTAAATCCATCTCCAATTGCGTGGTGATGTGTTGGTTTTTTTAGGCCTCAAAAAAAAAATCAATGCCCCTCCATTCAATGGATTTGGCATGAAATTAATTGATCAATTAATAGGCACTCAACTAGGCCATAACAATAATAAATAATAATAAATAAATACATAAATAAATATAATCTTTATATTTTTGTGTGTGTGTGTGTATGTGTGTGTACACGAGGCAATAAATTATGAATAAAAATGTTCAAAGTTTTATATTGCGTGGAACAATTTGTTTTCTAAAAAATGAGTTCATCTTTGAAAAGATTGATTCAATAGACCAATGTGAGGTTGCTTGTACCAAGCATAATATGGAATAACCCAACGATTAACTAAAAAACTAATTTGTTTTATTAAAGTAAGTTTAACTAAAAAGCGTGCTATAATTAGTATTGAGTTGATATATTTTTTTATTTTTTTTTGGGTAATAAGTTCAAAAGTGTTCTATGATGTTTTTTGATATCTTTTAATTTTTTTTTTTTTATATTTTGTGAGATGTTGAATATTGATATAGCCACGACTAGTACTGCCGGCTCGACCGGTAGTATCTGATATAGCATGTCATAACCGACCAGTTTTTATGGATATATATTGAAGAATACGCCTATACATGAGCTAAGACACTTGATATGATAATATGGGCCAAGCTCAACCTAGGCTAAGCCTAACTTGGACTATAAAGTACACTCCCTCTATAAAAAGGGGAAGAATGTACTCATTTCATTCATTCTCTCTCTACACTTTCTCTCTACTTTATCTCTATACATTCTCATATGAATCCAGTACTGACTTATGGATCGGAGGCCCAAAACCGGGCACCTCTCCCGGTATCCCGACTTTGGGTTCTTGCAGATACGGTGACCGTCCGAGTCGATGGAGCCCGTGTGACATCTTTGTCATATCAAATATGTAAAAAAAAAAAGTTTTGGGATGATAAAAAATTATTTTCGTGGGCAAAAATCGGAAGAGATGCAATCTTTTTAATTGGGCTCCAAATCACTATCCCCCTCTTCATTAATTTAAAAAGCGCTGAATTTGGGTGGTAGGTTCGCATGTTTTGGAGCTCTAACTGACAAAATTATATATTTCATTATTAGGCTTTAATAAATTTTAATTTACTTACAATTTAAAAATAATTAGATCCGAATTATCCATAAATATATTAATTATCTCGAACTTTGATTGAACTCCATATTGTATAAATTATATAACGATTTCAACTGAACTCACTGTAGTAAACACGTTGGACTAAATGAACCTACTATCAAATTCCACCGTTTGCAGCCCATTTTAGTCTTTTTATACTTTTCAAACATTTTCTATTTTGATTTTTCATTTATTAATTTTATATTTCATTTTATAATACGTCTCTAAGACATAATTTTGAACGAATCGAGACATCATATTTATATTTAATTTCATAATACAATTTTATTATTAAAATTGTGTTCTCTTTACCGTTTTATTGTCTCGTGGCCTTTATAGACTCATCTAAAAAGTTGAAATTTGAAGGTGAAATATCATTGACAATATTATATTATGCTTTTGATAATCTGTTTCGGAATATTTGGTGATTTTGGGTGGTTCCCTAAGTATACACATATTATATGTGTGTGTATTAAATTAAAATAAATTAAATTAATAATTGGGTGTGCATTCTCAAGTGCTAACCACCAAATAAAATAACAAAATATCATACTAAAAATAATCATTCTTCCCTATATATTACGAATCAATTATAAAAGAAAACTTTTTTGGCTTCTGGTAAACAATATCTATAAATATGTAGACTGTAGGTGAAATTTGCGGTTTTGTTATGGAGTCATCGGATGACTCAGCTTATGGAGCAATCCATTGTTATTCGCAAA